CCGCCACCTCCCACCATTACGCACAGGCGTCGCACCGCGCCGCCGATGCTCCACCCGATCTTTCAAATTTCCCGACGCAATCGTCGAGAAGGGCAATGGAGCTTATCCGTGAACGACGCTCGACTGTGGTACGACGAATTACCGACATCCCCGCCTTGGACAAGCTAAATGAGGGGAGCAAACGAGGTGGCGCGAGAACTGTGTGCGCCGTCAACGTGGGAGCAGAGAATTTCCCTTGCGGGGCAATTCACAACCTTTTGCCGCACGCACGAACGCACGATGAACGAGGAGAGCTGCGCGGTCTTTTTGGCGGCAATCGATGTAGCGCCATTGACCCGACTGCAGTACGCCAGGATGCTGCGGTCCATGTTGGAAATGAATCGAACCCCGCTGGACATGGTGATTCTGGGGTTACAAAAGATTGCGGCGCGATAAGAGGCGAAGCAGGCGCGCCCCTTGACAATGGAAGGGATGGATCAATATATCCGCAGCCGGACCGATTGGAAGCAACGTGTTGTCTTACGACTCGCGTGGATAACGGCGAGCTGTTGGTCCGAGATTGCGGCCTTAACCCCAACAATTCCACACTGGAGGCGGACGGAACCTTAATTTTGGATTGGCCCGTGGCACCGAAGACGGCGAGGGCGGATCCCCACCGCGCCTTTCGGTTCGTCAGGACACGAGGGCAGGACGTGTTAGACATTATAACGTTATGCAGGACACTTCAAGAGAAGGAAAAGCTCACGAATATTACGACTGCACAGGTGACACGAGCCCTGGCTCCTTGGATGCCACGGCGCATTCCATAGAACGCGGTGCGCTGAGGCACGCAGCTCCAATCGTGGAGACACACGATTTTGACCCACACGTGATCTCGCCGTTGGCGGTGCACGTCGACCCGTTCGACCTTCCCCAGAGCACAGTTCGATATTTGGGGAGGTACACCACAATGCTGACCCAGTTCTCGGCGCTGATCGCATTGATGTGAAGGAGAAGCTGCGGAAGGGCAGGAGCCCTGGTTGAGAGCGGAGGAGAGTTTTTCCATGATTTTTAGTATTACGCTGCTGCCATTACAAGACGCACGACAAGGACGCGTCTGGCCACTCCACAAGAGGAACGAACCATCCCGCTACAGCAACAAGTCAATGTGCCCGTATTGAACCTGGAGTGGATCCAGAGGCGGTTGAACCCGGCTACCTTGGAGAGACTCATGCAAGTATGTGGGCACGTCGGGCGGTCCCCTTTACCTTTATCCTCCTCCGGTAGCGCGCGAAGGCTCACGGAGGGTTCCAGTCGCTGACGCGCGATTAATGAAGGAAGCGGGAATAATCGAGGACGCATCGTTCACAGTAACAAGCGGCGGATGGATAATGCCTTTTCTGTGGTGGAGGAGAAAACCACCGGTTTACGACGACGATGGATCGCGTGGCCACGCGACGAGAAGAGAGACGACCCTTACGAGGCGAATGTTCCTCTTTTACACATTTCCCATTATTTGTCACCTGTGATGGCTGAGGCCGCTTTCTGCGTGGAATTAAAGGCATCCTTTTTTCGTGTTTCTTTGCCGCGGGGGCTCGGCATCTCTTTCGATGCCGCGTGAAGGACGGCACGCTGGTGGAGCCCGCACGGCTCCCAATGGGACACAAGGCCGGCCCAGAAATTCTCCAGATTATTATTACTTCAGCAATTGCGGGGTGACGACGGTGGCTCACCGCCTCCGGGCTGCACCTCCATTGTTGCGTATCGACGTATGGATCGATGATATACGCATTGCAGGGGTCGATAAGCGATGTGACATTGTGGGAGGCCCAGGTGCTTTGTAATGCGGATGGCCGTCACGCTACGATATGGGAGGATCGCGAATCGGGCGCCACGCAGTAAATCTTTCTGTGGGTGCGGTTTGATCACACTCACCGGGCGGTGTCCCTGAGTGACAAGTTTGTCCGGTGTGTATGCGCCATGCCGTCGCTGAAGTATTTAACCATCGCGGAAATGGAGGTTGTGGCGTCACGCTTTTTGTACGCGTCGGCCAATTTTTGTTCAGGCGTTTATTTGACTACTGCTTTTTCATCAAGGCAGTGCGACGACGATTATCGGCACTTAACCGGGGGATTGTGCTGGAGACATCCCCGGCAAAACTCCGTCGTCAGCGGTTGGTTTGGGCGAGAGATTACGACACAGCATCGAGAATATAATCGTAAGCGAATCATCGAGCCCACGGAAAAGGCATCGGCCGCCATCATCACAAATGCATTGTTTTGTGGATGGGGAACCGTTATCATTCCATACTCCGGCGACGTTAAAATTGCCGGGGGAAATGGGGGAAGCCTTTTTTTATCATGCAGGCGGAGGCATGCGCGGTACGCTTGGCCTTATCGGTCTTTTCCGCCATCTTGCCATCCACCATGGACGTTTGGGTGGACAACACCTCGCTGCAAGGAGCGGCGAATAAAGGCAGATCAAAATCACACGCCATGACGTGGGAGCTGCAACGGATATATGAGTTTGTTGACTCTCGCGGAATACAGGTATCCGTTGCCTACGTACGGTCTGCGGAGGACCCCGCAGACGGCATATCACGCGGTTGTGTTTTTACACTTCAGGACTTGGCAAAGGGGAGCGGCGGTGTCTTGTGTCTGCAGGATCCCAAAGTCTGCCACTTCGTAAGTAATAAATAAATAATAAATATATATGTATCGCATCCGAATAGGGTGAGCGGGCCACAACTGTGGCTAATGGACGATGTATATATACATATATACACTTACTTGTTGCTAAACTTTGAGGATATGATGGATCCATTCTTATTCCGTTGATCCCTTTCTCATTCTTATCTGTTTTTTTTTCTATGATTGAGAAACTCAGGATTCGGCCAGCCGCCCGGAAATTTTTTCTGCTTTCTTTCTTTTGTGGTGTGTGTGTGTGTGTTGGTGTGGTGTTGCGAATAAGTAGTGTGACTGGTTGCGGGTGTCGGGGCATGGTGTTTTTTTTTCTGGAAACGACGCACTGCCTCGTCAACATGTGTGTGCTACTGCTCCTTCTTTTCTGGCTTTCTTTTTTGTGAGGGTGCGTAGATAGTGTGCAAAGTGCGTATTTATGTGTTCTGGCGGAGGCGGTAAAAAGGGCCCTGGGCCCGCGGCATGCATTTGTTTGTTGGTAGCATTGCTGCTGGTGACGGCCGTGTGTATGCGTGGTGGGGGGTCCGGTGGAGGTGTGGGCGAGGATGAGGGAGAGGGTGGCGGTGCGTGGCGCAGCACCGATGCCTTGCACCCCATTGAGGCCGAAATGCGGCCCTACGTGCGCGAGATGATAGGGCACGCCTTTAACTCCTACATTAAGTATGCCTTCCCGAAGGACGAGTTACGCCCGGTGAACGGGGCAGGGAAGAACACCATGGGCGGCTACGGGTGGACGCTGATCGATGCGCTCGACACGCTGGCGGTCGCTGGGTTCCACACGGAATTTCGTCGCTACGCGAGGTGGGTGGAGGAGAATGTGAGCTTTGACATTGACATCACTGTGTCTGTGTTTGAGACGACGATTCGGGCACTTGGCGGACTTCTTGCGGCGCATTTTATGTATGAGGAAGGCGTGGTGGAGATCGTCGCCTCGGAGCACAACTACACGGGTGGGCTCATGCGTCTTGCTGTGGACCTGGGCAACCGGCTTCTCCCCTGCTTTAACACCAGCACAGGCATACCGTACGGAGCAGTTAACCTCCGGCACGGTCTGGATCCGACGGAGACAACGATCACCAGCACTGCTGATGGTGGCACCTTTTTGGTGGAGATGACCGCTTTGTCGGGCCTCACTGGCGACGACAGGTATGAGCGAGCCGCCCGGCGTGCCTCCGAGGCATGTTGCCGCACG